ACACACACACACACACACACACACACTCACACACACGCACACTCAGACACACACACACATAGAATAACTGAGCAATGCTCATATTTTAATCAATGATTGTCATTCTAGACAAAGTGACACAGGTCTTGCTACATAAAACGGTTGATGAATTCTGTCACGTTTTTCGTGTCTAGTCACGATCTTTGGCTAAGAGCCAAGAGCATTCCTTGGTCTTTGGATTCCCTATATTGTTTACGAGGTTATGGGTCGGCGCTTCCTAAAGAAGCGACCCATGATAAAAACAAAAATTGCCATGCTTTTTCATCCGTGCCATGTCTCTCTCTCTCTCTCTCTCTCTCTCTCTCTCTCTCTCTCTCTCTTTCTCCACTCCAAATCTCTCCATTCAGCATGTGGCGCCAAGTATCATCTGCATTAACTTATTATTTTTGCATAAACGCACTCGATCACCCTGTTTTCCCTGGCCACCTCCCCGATAAGCCACATTCATTTAGAAATGTGTTAACTTTGTTGTTGTAGCGTTGTTATTGTTTTTGCTGCTGCTGCTGGTGTGTTTTAGCTGTTGTTGTTGCTGCAATAGTTGCTGCAGTTGTTGTTATTTTTGTTGCTGTTGCTGTTGTTTTTGTTGCTGCTGTTGTTGTTGTTGTTATTTTAGTTGCTGTTGTTGTTATTTTTGTTGCTGTTGTTGCTGCTGCTGTGGCTGATATTGATGTTGCTACTATTGTTGTTATTGTCGTCGTTGCTGTTTTTGTTGTTGTTGTTATCGTCGTCGTCATCGTCGTCGTCGTCGTCGTTGTTTTGTTGTTGTTATTGTTGTTGTAGTTTGTGTTACTGATGTTGTTGTAACAAAGAAAGAAAAGAGAAGGGAGATAGGGCTTTTTAGTCATAGGGTGAGAGCTTGACTCGCACTCTAATATACCTATTTCGATTCTTGTTTCGAGCATGTGTGGTCAGTGGATAACTTTGGACTCTTTTAATTTAGTTTTAGTAAACGTTTTACAGCACTTGCAACACAAATGGGTCAATATGTGTCGAAGATTAGAATTAGAGATGCTTCGAGGGAGTAAAATACAAAGAAAAGGAGGAAAGATGAGGACGATAGGTGTTTGATGAGCAGAAAGGAGCAAAAAGAGCTCCTGCCAACCAACCCCTTTATGCTATTGAAGATATCCTAATCTTGACTGAAAAATCGCCTTTCTAAACTGAGTCTGCTTACGTAACGTGCAAACATAGCATAATATAACCATATCACCAGTGGAACTCCCAGTTGATCGTCAACTTTCTTGACTATTAGAAGGCCTTTGACAGTACAGACCGAGTAACACTGTGGAAGATACAGAGACATCATGGAATCCCACAGGTTAACCTCACCAGGAGCATGTACTAAGGAACAAGTTGCAGAGTTATACATGGTGGCCAGCTCATTGACAGCTTTAACATCAAGACCGGTGTGAGACAGGGATGTTTACTATCACCTTTCCTCTTTGCATTGGTAAGCGACTGACTGATGAAGGAAACCACCAGAGATCACAGAGACAGCATACAGTGAACCCTAGAGTGGACCCCATGGACACAGTTGGACGATCTGGATTTTGCAGATCAATGACTTGGCGCTTCTGTCACACACTCGGGAACAGATGCAAGCAAAGACCACAATTTTTAAACAGTCTATCAGAGTCTGTTGGATTGAGGATCCACTCCGGAAAGTCAAAAGTCCTAATGATAGATACACTACAAAAAGGAGCAGGTCACAGTACACAGTAGATGGTAATGCAATAGAAGAAGTTGAATCCTTCTGTTATCTTGGGAGTATAATTGACAGAGAGGGAGGAACAGGCGCTGAAATAAAGTCCCGTATTGGAAAGGCACAGACTGCATTTATTTCTTTGAACAGGATTTGGAGGACCATGGATATCTCACTACTAACAAAACAGAATTTTCAACTCAAATGTGAAAACAGTCCTGTAGTATAGATGTGAGACTTGGAACGCATCTCAGACGTGCATAAAGAGGATCCAGGTTTTCTTGAAAAAGTGTCAGAAGAAACTACTAAGGATCAGATGGACAGACAGGATCACCAACAAGGAAGTATTATATTCTCTCTCTCTCTCTCTCTCTCTCTCTCTCTCTCTCTCTCT